TATCTGGTGACTTATTATTATATTAGTTGCTCTTTTTTGTCTTTGTTAGATTACGCCATTTTCACTTCATCCTAAGTCTTAGTTAGTTTGTCCAAACGTGAATTTAGGTAAAAGTAACGATGGCTAAACAATAAAGTCACATTGGACGGTCCTTGAAATAATCACATTTGGTGCACCTCCAATGTCCAGTACCTTATGAAATTTTGATAAGCGATCACCTCTGCTCCAATAAGGAGGGGAAATGTTCTCGCTTTAGTTGCCCGCATGAGTGTCTGCACTGGAACTAACGTTCTATGAGGACATTTTTGGCTATGTGGATATATGTGTAAATTGCCTACAGTAGCCCTTGTGACGTGGAGTGCAAAAGCTTAAGGTACAGCTCTCAACTTTAACCATCTCGCTCTCTGAGTAATCCTATAAGTGAAACACGCCAAGCAATAGAAATTTGTGAAGTTATTGACCTGCTCATAAATAATACAGACGCTTCCGTTTAGTTACCGTTCTTTCTTTTTCACCTTCTTGATTCTTCTTTTAATCTATACCACCCTTTCCCCTTGTGCAGGGCAGCATACCAGTTATGCCGAACTGCCTAACATCTCCATTTTCTCTCTCCCTTCTTTTTTTCAATTTAGATACACTGCGTTCAACGCCATGATGGGAACCCCTACATTATGGCCAACACACAACCACTGCATCATTTTTCTCCCTTGCTAATACCTATACTATTTCTTGGAATTCGTTTGATTCCGATGGAGGCGGAAATGTTGTAGGCCCGTGTACTCAGATTTGGGTGCACGTTAAAGAACCCCAGGTGGTCGAAATTTCCGGAGCCCTCCACTACGGTGTCTCTCATAATCATATAGTGGTTTTGGGACGTTAAACCCCGCAAATCAATCAATTCATTTGATGTTTTCTTTTTTGGAGAAATTTAAACTTTTTTATTTTTTACTCTACCATTCGTACTCAGTTATTCATTAGAGGAATAACTTGTTTTTAGTTCTGAATTAAATTGTGGTAAAATTAGAGCACCTATATCTTCTCAAAGCTAGTCTCCAAGTCGCCTTGGAGGCTTGAGGGCTAAGTACCTAGCACCAAAGCACTGAGGTCTTCGTGGCAGTACTAGGGCTTCGAAAATCAACTGAAGTAATCTATAGTCTTTCGTCACTGATTCAACCAAAAATGTGGACGTGTTTGGGGCTTTCCGAAAGGTTTATAGACTCTAAAAGAATAGCGAGTAAAAAGGGTGTCTTTTTGTCCCACAACAATAATTGTCATCTATATTGCGTTCCATCCTTGCGCTATCGCCCCGCGCCAGGTACATTCCGGTCACGATCGACATGCCCATTATCAGGGTTACATTGCATTATCGATAGGAAAGTGGCCAGCGCCGAGTTTTCAAGAAAGGAATCGCACGCAAGCCGGATGACAATTATTGTTGTGGGACAAAAAAGACACTCTTTTTACTCGTTCTTTTTAAGAGTGTAGCTTCAAGCTCTGATATTGGGTTACTTTTGCGCGCATTTTTAGAAGAAAAAAATGAAATATTTGATAGGAGGTAAAATCCATCTGGTTGTTCCGTAAGCTTCTTTTAGTTTTAATGCCTTGGGTTATTTGCCGTTGTGTTTGCCGACATCCTTTGACTTGTTTTCGTGAGATGTTGAGCATGACCCATATCTCACTATCCCACGCAAACATCCAGGCATTGCATCCCGTTCTTCTCCGAGTTCAAGAAACGTGTCAGATTTGGCGCGACGGCTTCATTCTGTCGTTTCATGCAAGGCTTCCTCCACAAGAAGTAATTTTATATTGACTACCAGTTCCGTATATTGGTTTCAAGTAGACCAGATGACATTTTTCGTGTTAAATAAAACTCCTTCGAAATAAAGTGGCCTGCGCAAATAAAGACAAGCACAAAGACAGACCGGACAAGAAGAGGCGTTAACTCAACCATACGAGCAGCGAAAATCTTTGAGAAACGCCACTCCACTTCTGCCTTGCAGAAAAGGCACAAAACACGTATATAATGATGATGTGTGGTGTTTAACGCCCGGAAACCACCATAAGAATATGACAGACGCCGCAGTGGAGGGCTCCACAAATTTTGACCACCTGGGGTTCTTTAACGTGCACCCAAATCTGAACACACGGGCCCAAAGCATTTTCGCCTCCATCGAAAATGCAGCCGCCGCAGCCGGGATCCAATCCCTTGACCTGCGGGTTAACAGCCGAGTACTTTAGCCGCTATAGTGCGAAACACGTATATAATGCCGAATCCAAATCTGCCTTTAATGTTGAGAGTGTAATACACAGTGATAACAATGTTCCTTAAATGTTTCCTATGTTCCTTCGTCGTCACCCTTCAACCTCTTGGTTAGCCTGATAGTAACAACTACTTGCCGAGCAAAATATCTTTAGTTTTTTTTTTTAAGCAAAGGACTGGTACCCGCCGAAGCTTTGGGGCTGTTTGGTACGGTGCTACTGACCCCAGCACATGCTAAACGTGTGTGCCGTCTATAAAGAGCTGAACTTTGAAGACGAATCTGGCTCCTTCATGATTATTTACGTGTTGTGTGCTACGCTAGTGACCTTCCCTAGAAGGCAGAAGTGAGGTTGCATTCCCTAAGGATTTTCACTGCTCCTATGGTTGAGTTTGTGCCTGTCCCTGTCCGGTCTTTTTTTGTCCTTGTCTTTATTTGTGCTTGCCAGTTTACCTTGAAGTATGAAAAAATCTACCAGCTCTAAATTTTCCAGAACAATATAAAAGTACTGTTGCTGTTTTTTAATTCTTTGTTGTTGTTTAAAAGGAGTAAATAAACATCACGAAACTCAATGATCAAGTATGAAGGTCACTGAACACTTGTTCTGGCCTTGTAGTTGTATGAAGTTCCCACGAGGAATTGAATCGAAATAGGCTAGTGAGAACAACTAAAGAAAAACAGGTATTCATCGACGCTATAAGCCTGCCTAAATTTTAAACCTTCAGCAAATACACCACTCGGAGGCTGTTCTAGAGCTTTGTGTTGTATTTTGGTCTTTTGTATGATGACACTCTGATGCGCCCCTGTGACTGCCGAATCTCACTGTCATGTTAGCCATTATGCCTAAAACTTTTATAATACAAATGAAGGCACTTCACATAACGGCTGCTGTTAAAAGAAAGTAAGATGTCTGTCGCCGTGGTAGCGTGTGGTGGCACTGGCTTACAGCCCCGAGGCCACACATGGTACACATAGATAAGTATACCCCCTAAAAAGGTAGAAACTACCCCCTACATAATTAGATTTTTTTTTAAACACTCTATGCGCAATGCGAAAGAATTCCCCTCAGGTGCCACTTGCAGCATTTTTTTTTTCTTTTCGCCACCACTCTTTTTCACTGAAGTTATAATTCCTAAGTCTAAATAAAGAAAATTTCACTCCACCTACTTACTTGCAACAGATCGGTACTCACTATGAATTTCTCATTGGGTCACTAAAAGCTTCTTACCCTTAAGTGCTCGTAACAAAGAATGGATATCATGTCTTTCCCAAATCGTTTTCGCTGAAAAACTATAACAGTAAGTGAGCACCAAACATCATTCTGATGACGTAGGTTTTTTTTTTTTGCAATCACTACAAGTTTTATTCTGGTGGTTCGACGAGCGCTTTAATTAGCGACATCTGAATCCTACTGCTCAGGACCCAGAGGATGTTTGACGGTATTTTATAGATCTAGAATACGAAATTTGAAAATTTGATTTAAAGGAAAGTAAACTCACATTTTTGTGGGTAAATACACAACTTTAGTGGTTAACTATCAATGCACTAAGTGACAATAAATGAATAGAGATCAATACAGATTAAATAACTTTATTTCAAACAACCTATAAATAACCACAGCATCACCATTCGTATCGCTATTTGTCTCAGTCAGTCGTTCCGGGTAAACAGTCAGAAACAGTCATCACCAGGAATCAGATGTTCAGAAAGGCCTGGAAAAGAAAAGAAATGCAGTCTGGTATTGAAGATTACCACATAGATCACAGCTTGTATTCAACCAGCATCTTTTGGGGAGTGCTTCCATAGACGAAACACGGTCACGGCGATTGTATTTGTACTGTATTGATCCCAAATAATAGTGCAACGTGCGCGAACGTTGACCAGAATTAGTTACTCTCGTGGGCCAGTTTACCTTCCTCAAAACTTATTTCCATCTTTGTAATGCAACCAAAATGTTGTAACTCTTGTGTGTTTCAAATGTTTCTCGCGACAACTGTCCAAGCGAAATTTTTATGGTAAGAAAAATGTAGTGGACTGTACAGCAATTTCAAATTATTAAGCTTGCACTATCACTGTTTCACAGTCCGTACTAAAAACGTACAGATAAAAACACTTTTTCTAGGCAATTTCACCGCTATTTTTGTCGTAAAACATGTACGATACATCACTTTGTACTGCAGTATTGCGGAAGCAAGCCAATCATGGCTCATATTTACACATGTACACAGGAAATTACTGCTTTTTATATTGATAATAATAATAATAAAAACCAGTCTATTGTGAACGCTTGACATGTCGCTATCCAATACGACTCAAACAACTATGGTGAAGAAAAACATCCATAAAATGGACATTTGACCCTTGAGCTGTGTCATGCATCTATCAAAATAGGAAGATTTTATTGACTGGTGTCATATTTTCATAACTGCTACGTTTCAGTCATAACCCCATGAACACGCACACACGATCTGCTGCACGTTAAATTGTACATGCTGTGTCACCAGCTTTGAAGCCTAGTGTCAGCGCATTGCGTTCAACTGTGCTATTGTCGAAGTTTTTATACTACAAAAATGACTGTACAACGTGGGAGGTATAATGTATCTATTTTACTAAACAATTCCTAAATGCAGTCCTCTACAAACTCAAGTGCACATAGAGAGAGTCATCAAGGTGTTCTAGAGTAGCTTACAGTGTCTTACCCAACATATTTTCTTACATTTGTCCTTGAACAATCGCCATCGATCATCCTTTCAGCAAGCCGGGTCCAGAACCGATTCCTGTGTGAGCGGCAATCGGAATACCTGGGTGGATTTTCTTGACTTTATTTTCTTTTCTCACTAGATATGCTGGACCAGTAAGAGTTTTCACGTAGCCGAACGTGCCGGGTCCACCAAAGTAAGTTTCTCCCAATGGAAATCCTAGCCCGCCGCCGAAGCCTCCACCACCGACCAGTCCTGGGCCGAAGCCTCCTCCGAAGCCTCCTCCGAAGTCTCCTCCAAAGCCTCCTCCAAAGCCTCCTCCAAAGCCTCCTCCGAAGCCCCCAGCATAGCCACTTCCGTAACCACCTCCATAACCTCCCCCGTAACCTCCTCCAAATCCAAGTGCATTTCCACCTCCAGGGCCAAACGCGAAACCACCTCCGCCGAATCCTGGTCCATAACCGTAGTGAGGTCCAAGTCCTCCCGTGAAAACAGTGCTCAATAATGAGCAAGCGAACGCAGCGTGGATCTGAAAAATGAAAAAAAAACGTAAAAAAGTTGTGTTGCTGCCTGTCAAACGAATGGATATTGTGGGCTTCAAAAATTGGCCCCAAATAACTTTACCTGTTGCCTCCTGTCCTTCAAGATTTTAAAGTGGCATACCACTTCTTTATACAATGAAGGGCTGCTTCTTACGAGATAGTTTTGTTGTCTGACTTTCTGTGCCGTGTTAGCAATAATCTGCATTATATTCACCATAACTATTTTCTGCCTTGATAGCCTATGATCAAAGTTAAAGGTCTTTAGTATGGTGGCACATTTCATCGAACTTCTTGGAGTCGAAGCAAGCTTAAAAGAATGAATCTGAAGCATGTCATTCTGCGTATACTTGAAAAAATTGCTTCAGTTCACACAGTGTTAGAAAAACTATTTGTTGTGAGTGTATATGTAATGTAATTTGCAGCTTTTTCGCTAAGGAATTTCAAGATACTAGAAAAATTCCGAGATAAATGCACTTTTTTCCTGGGGTGTCTGCTGTGTCAATATCATTTACATTTTCAATTTCTGTCACCAGATTGTAACGCACATTTTTCACGTGAAACTGTGATAGTTTCACACCCCTTTTCTAAATTAAACGTGGAAAAATTAACAGACCACAGAAAAAGCCTCTGAGATTCATTTACAACTCATATGATCGATGCTTCATGAAGAAATCCGTTAAAAATTATATTCCACCTGTTGCTGATAGGAACTGTTTGTAGGTTTTCATACCTCGGGAAATGGTTATCGCAAAACGAACACGTCGTATATATTGACTTCATTTGCAAGTTAGGTAACTAGACGTTAACATGCACGAGCAATTACACCTTTAATTCAAAGAGAGAATACCTTTATAAACACTCGGTTTCATTGCACTATAATTGACAGTAATTAGCTCTTTATTAAAGCTTTAAATCCCAAAAATATTTGTTATCTTTGTTATCCTTTACGGAGAAAGAGAAGTGTTCTGCATCCGGTTAAAACTTTTCCGCTAATATAAGTTTTTCCCTGCTGTTTCTGTTCTTTTTTGCCCGTATGTACGTTCCTCATGTAAATATCCCACATTACAATGATCCAACTAAGAACGCAGAACCAATGAATAAATAAATACATTATCAAATGATGCCTAATTCCTGAAGACCACAAAAGTGCTCACCCTCTAAGCACGTCGCAACTGCTTGTGGAATAAAATAATTTTTAAAACAGTACTAAGAGTAATGTTCTAGTCACATAAAATTTGTCTTAGTAAAACCAGATTATAGCTTGGCCAATTTTGTTTGCCATCGTAGAATGAAAATATGTTATATGTTAATACAAAGATATGCACTATTGAAAGAAAAATAATAAAAATGTGCAGCTACAGAAACTTCTAAGGCATGCCAATACCTGTCGCTAATGTTTTACTACCGTGCACATATCTGATTTAGTAAACGTCAATACTACTACGCACGTCATGGTTACTAAAGATTACTAGGCTATCTGCCAATCGGTAAAGTTTACTGCTTCATCTTTTATACATTGTATGTTAAGCTGTAATTCTGAAAATCTATTAAAAATGTACGTGAACTATTGTTTTTGTTCGTGGTACAATTACAGTTTCGTGCTTCGTCGTGACACGCATATATTCAAGCAGTAAGCTATGAGAATTTCGATTGAGAACATTGATTTGATAATTGATTTTATGGCCGCTCACCAATATAACGTGCGCTACCCCAAATGAACGCTATATTGAAGGTGTTTCAACAGTTATGACTAAAAGACCTCGAAAAACAAGATAAATTTTGTACTTGCTTACTGGCTGCATTACTAGCCCTGCCGTGTTTTAGTGGGTATAAAGTACTCGGCTGGTGGCCCGCAGGTTTCGGGATCAAATCCTGTCTACTGCTGCTGATATTTCGATAGAGGCGAAAACGCTTTAGGCCCATGCGCTCAGATGTAGGTGCACGTTAAAGAACCCCAGGTAGTCAAAATTTCCGGAGCCCTGCACTACGCCGTCTCTCGTAATTATATGGTGATTTTCGAACGTTACACCTCACCTATCAATCAAATCAAACGATAGTTTTGTTACTACTCTTTATGTATCGGTGGACATATGATCACTGAAGACATCAAATAAGTCAACAAGAAGAGGGATTAGAGTGATTATATATAATTTTGGGAGACAGGCAATCGTGTCAGATTGGAACATTGGAACATTTCCTGCAAAATGCCCGTTGCCGCTTTCAGAGTTTCAAAAATCGATGGCTGGTAATTTTTACAGAGTGATAAAATTTGAGCAACCTCACTGGCGAAACCGGAACCGAACCAAGAGAGTGCATCTTCCGCACACTTTGGATACATCCGGATGAAATAATAGTCCTTATATCAACCATGGATCTCCTTCACCTCGTTTTTGTGCATGCTGCACTAATGTACATATAGGTGTACGAATGCAGAACTAACATGGTACGTGAATAATAATAATAATAATAATAATAATATAATATAATAATAATAATAATAATAATAATAATAATAATAATAATAATAATAATAATAATAATAATAATAATAATAATAATAATAATATATTAATAATAATAATATATTAATAATACATAAAAAATATCTGGTGTTTTAAATCAGAAAAGCATGACATAATAATGACAGACACCGTATAGTGGAAGTCTCCAGAAATTTTGACCATCTGGTGTTCTTAACGAGCACTAGCATTGCACACTACACGAGCCTCTTCCATTTCGCTTCCATTGAATTGCAACCGCCACGGCCGGGATAAAACCTGCGATCTTCAGGGCAGCAGACGAGCATCGTAGCCATTGTTCCACTGTGGCGGACCACAGTAGAAACTGGTACGACGCCAAAACAAAAGACTGGCGCTTTTCTTTTGACGCTGTTTCTTTCACGCTACGGTTTTTCAATGCAAAGACTTTCTTAGCAAACCAAAAAAGTTAGGCTGAATCTATCTATCTATCCGTCTATCTAACTATCTATCTATCTATCTCTTTGTGTGTGTGTGTGTGTGTGTGTGTGTTGTGTGTGTGTGTGTGTGTGTGTGTGTGTGTGTGTGTTGTGTGTGTGTGTGTGTGTGTACCTAGAAGAAATGCTTCTCATTTGACATGAGAGGAAAATGCCAATGATACAAATAAATCAAGTTGGTCTACAAATAATAATAATAATTTTTTACTTATACGACCCATATACGAGCGCTATCCACCTACGTTATCACACCCTCGTACTTCTCTCGTTAATTTAGTATATACGAAAAATGATTATGAGTATGACGAACATGATTCGCAAATCATGACATAAACAACGCTGCTTCTTTGTCGCATACGTTATGGAATCTTTTCCACCGCTGATGTGTGGCACATACTCGCATACGGCCGCCCGTTATATGCAAATATACGCGCCACAAGTGATTCGCTGTCTATATCAACCCGAATCGGGAAGTAATCAATTGCTTCATTGATTGATATATATGTGGGGTTTGATGTCCCCAAACCACCACATGATTATGAGAGACGCTGTAATAGAGGGCTCCGACAATTTCGACCACCTGGAGTTCTTTAACATGCACCCAAATCTGAGCACACGGGCCTACGACATCTTCGCCTTCATCGGAAATGCAGCCTCTGCATCCGGGATTCGATCCCCCGACCTGCTAGTCAGCAGCCGTGTACCTTAGCTACTAGACCACCGCGGCGGGGCTGGGAAGTAATCAAAGCGCCAGTCAAAAGACATCATGGAAAACTCCCTGTCACTGAAAATGCAGGGCAGACGTCCATGGTGATGTGTATGAGTAAAATCTCTTGTTTGAAACAAAAAATAAAAATCAGAGGACGCTTGAGGCTCGCCTTCAAAAGTACGTCGCGATAGCGCAATCGGGCCTCGTGTACATTGCCGTCTGAACTGCTAAACTGCTTCGGTTTTTGGCGCATGCCTCAAGCGTTCCGTAGGGAACTTGACGACTCTGAGCGTAACATTGATGGTTTCAAGCTTTTATTAAATGCATATTGCAAGCACAGTTGTCCGATTCCCACTACGCCATAATTATTTCTTTATGTGAATCAGTGAAGGGCCTTCTGCCAGTCCGGGGCAACGCGCCGAACGTACACGCAGCTGTTCACTTTGTCGATGATTCGGCTGGTGATGATGAATAAATATGTACGAGGGCTTTATAAACGGAGGGCCCCTAAAACACCCACTCATTGCTCAATTCACATATTTTCACACCTTGCATATCGATTCTACGCTTCTGCACACAATATACATCCGTTAAGAAGACTCTTTCCGCTATATGACGCTCATACAGTTATTTTTAAGCTGCTTCAAGAAGTCACATGGCTGAGTGGGAGAACACCTGCTTGCCATAGAGACGCCTTGGGTGTGATTCTTGCTGGCACCCGGAAATTGTTATAACTTATTTCACGGTTCAAGCTGGAATCGAACCCAGGCATTGTGCGTGTCTGTCACGTATTTCACCACAAACCACGCCCCTGCTTCTGTTTTAAAAAACAACCCTGTATCCAAGGGTCATGTCAGGCTAACCCCTAGTGGACTGGCAGTGTTGGCCGTCTGCTTTTATATAATTATAGCAAATGTTACATATCTGTGGCTCCTAAGGCTATAGTCAAGTGCAAAGCAAATACACACCGCCACATATGATACGCACATCATCACCCCGTCAAGTGCACTTCGCTGAGGTGAAACAGCCATGTCGCAATTCGTTCTACAAAATTCTTTCGTTGACTATAGCAGTCTGTGCCCTGAGCAAGTTATCTTTTCTTTCTTCTACGTTTATTTATTCAGATATACATTAACTTACGACTCATATTATCCCTATACCTTCCTTTTTTTTTCTTGGCATTACTGTACTTTTAGTTCCAAATAATGTTGAGTCAAAAAAGAAAACGAACGCTTAAATTTACAGTTCTATAACACTTTTAATAAGTCTCTCTGTTAGTTTGTTACTTTCTCTAATCGACAGCA